TTTGAGGCCAGCCTGGGCTAAGTAGGAAGACTCTGCCAAAAACAAAAAACAAAAATAAAAAAATCCAACCAGTACTTCCAATCCAATGCGTGCGCTAAGGGTGTAGCTCAGCGGCAGATGACTGGCCTTGTGTGCATGAGGCCATATGTTTAACATGTAGCACTGTAAAGATCAGCCAGCAATAAAGTAAAAGCACAGGATGGTTCATCCACCCTTCAAGAGCAGCAGCTGGAGGGGTAACGGGCTGAAATGCTGGCAAATATAGCTGTCTCTGTTCCCAGCTGCTTTCCATCCAGCAGGGCATGCATCCCCCAGCACTGCACCCCTCTACAGTCAGAACCGCCCCACTTTATAAGCCGGTAACCCATGACAACCAAGGTCCCAGTTTCACGGTGAGATAAGAAGACTTTAAGCCAGCCCCCTTGTGTGCACGCTCACTCACTCAGGCTCAGATCCCACCCTTTGCCTGCATGAAGTATATACAAGTGGTGGCCCCTAGCACTCCAGGAAGAGCACAGCTACCCTGGCAGAGGGAAGGCTTATCAGCTGCCCATTCGGAAACGACAGGAAACACCCATTAAATCCTACAAATCCCAGGAGCCAGGAAGTCTGTGGCACTTATATTTCAATATGACAATTCAACACATTTCTCTGCCTGATGTGCCCCACCCCCACAGAGGAGTGGCCCGTTCCCCTGCTGCTGGGTGGCTTTAAAAGGCCATCCTCTGCTCTGCAACCTGATGCTCACTAGCTGACACCCAGTCTTGTCACTTGAGAGCAGAAGTCATTTCTTCAGAACTAAAGCTTCGTGTCTACTCTCAGTTTCAGGATGTCCCCTAACCAAACATAAAGAGCGCTCGTGGCAAAGCCCGGAGGCCAGCTGGGCGGATGGAATTACATACCACATGCTTGCTCTGGGAGGCAGTGCTCCAGGAGGCTCTCCAGAAGGGCATGACAACCCTGGGCCCTCCCTTCCAGAGCTCAGCCTAGCCCACAAATGCTTCTGGTGATTCAAGCCACACAAATGGTTCGTGGCCAGGATTCAGTAAAGACCGGGCATGCCTGATCTTATGACAGAAACAGAAGTGGACGGTGGGCTCAAATGCTGACTGGCTCCCTTACAGGCGTGGCGTCTTAATGAGTGCCTTCTCATGAGGCTCAAGACAAAGTGAGACAACACACATGTAGAGCTTAGGACAGCCAGCCTGACAAGCTGTCCTTATCAGCAAATGTCATGTAGGGAAAGGAGACATGCGCTATATACTGCTTCTATTTTACTTTGTTTTATTTCATTTCTGAAACAATGTCTCACACTGAAGCCCTGTCTGGCCTCACAATCCTCCTGCCTCAGCATCTCAAGTGTGGAGTTACAGGAGACATCACAGCTGGCCTGTTTTAGTTTTTTGAAACAGTGTCTCCAAATGTAGCCCAGACTGGCCACAAACTTGACACTCTCCCACCTCAGCCTCTTAAGTGCCAGATTACCTGCATGGGCACCCATACCCAATTTAATATGATTAACAAAAGGAATCTGTTTAGTATTAGATACGCTTAGTGACTGCTACAAAAACATATCAACAAGAACACCAATGTCAGTACTGGGGAGAGGCCTCATACTTAAAGTCAAGGCTGCTACCTAGTAATTCAGGAGGAGCTCAGTTATTCAGGGGCCTCTATGGGGATGTAGACAAGACGACTCACCTTTGGGAAAGCATGTCATCATGCAAGAAGCTTTTGCTTCTCTATAAGTCATCTTTACAGCCAGAAGCCACCGAAACACAGGTGCACATGCACGCAAATTCACGTGCACACGCTCACGCGCACACACAGACACACAGAAAGAAGCTGCTGAGACATCAAGACCATTTTCTAAACTGACTTGGGGAGTCAGGAAAGACCCTCACCTGCCCCTCAGAGACAAAGGATGCACTCCTCTAACTGCGGAGGTAGGAGGAGCAAAGTCAAGACAGACACTTGATAAATATTACTTGGCTTTGGCATAACCTGATTCGAAGCAGAAGGGGTGTGCGCGCGTGCGTGCGTGCGTGCGTGTGTGTGTGTGTGTGTGTGTGTGTGTGTTGTTGTTGTTGTTGTTGTTTCTTAGCACAGACAGACCTACAATTTGTCGTTGGCCCAAAGTGACCTTGAATTCATGGAGATCTTCTAAATGCTGTGCTGGCAGACATCATCCCCACTCCTGGCTGCGCCTGTGTTTGTAGTTACCATGGGGACAGTACTATAAAGTATGATGTTAGAAGAGGGGTCACCCAGGACAGAACACCCAGGACAGAAAGGATGGACACCACCACTGCCAATAACAACCACCTTTTAAAATTAAAGCTTAAGCCAGGCGGTGGTAGAACAGGCCTTTAATCCCAGCACTCAGGAGGCAGAGGCAGGCAGATCTCTGTGAATTTGACGCCAGCCTGATCTACAGAGCAAGTTCTAGGGTAGCCAGGACTACACAGAAAAACCCTATCTCAAAAAACAAACAAACAAACAAACAACAACAACAAAAAACCCAAAACTAAAAAAATAAGGAAAGCTCAGACAGAGGTCCATCACTAGGTTAATCTTCTAACAACATAATTTCCCCAAGCCACTCCTCAGCTCTAATCTTTAAACTGTTCCCCACAGCCTGAGAAGTGAACGCCTGTGGAGTGCAGCCCACTCACCTTCCACTGTTGTTTTGCCTAGGCCGCTGGCCTCCCTCATTTGTCTCAGGAAGGACAAAGGCTGTCACTTCAGCCCAGTGTCCACAGCAGCGCCCCCTCACAGTACCTGGCACACGGTAGTTGCTCAGTAAATGTTTGCCAAGTCTACAAATACAGGGACGCCTTTGCAGTGGTGCTCGCTGCACCGCCCAGTCAGCAGTCAGCTCTCAAAGCCCCACCCACATCCTTGTGAGGCCGCCCTAGCATCCGCCCAGCTCCCGCCTACTCTCAGTTCCTACTGGACTCAGTTTCTCCAGATCTTCACTCTTATCTAAACATTTCCCGTTAGTGTGCTCTATCTGCCCCGCTCACGCAAGTCTGTGAGGAGAATTATCAGAGGCAGCGGAAAGAACGGGTTTTTAACAAGGAAGACCTCCCTATGAGGCGGTGGGAGGAACACCTACAAAAGGCCTGGGCCACGCAGCGCACAGTTCCTAGGTGCCAGTTCCTAGATGCCGCTGCTCAACTCTCAGAGCTTCGGGTCTCTCACTAATGAATGACAGTGATAGGAAGTCCTGGGACAGGTACACGGTGGCTCAGACTTACACTCCTGCATTCGGGAAAACAAAACAGAAAGCCTGCCATGGGTTCTAGGCCACATAGTGAGTTCCAGAACAATCTGATCTACCAAGTGAAACAGTCTTAAAAAAAAAAAAAAAAGCTGGGTTTGGCAGTTCACACTTTTATTCCCAGCACTCTGGAGGCTGAGGCAGGTGGGATCTCATCGAGTTTGAGACCAGCCTAGTCTACAGAATGAACTCTAGGACAGCCAGAGCTACATAATAGAGACCCTGTCTCAAAAACCAGTAAGATAAAATAGTCCTCTGCGGCCTGGAGATGTATGTAGCACCTCCCTGTCATGGGTAAAGCCCTCAGAAACAGTGAGTCCTCCTTCAGGGATGTGCATTGGTGTTTTGCCTTTGAACAGGTCAGCATGAAGGTGTCAAGTCCCCTGGGACTGAAATTACAGAGGGTTGTGAGCTGCCATGTGAGTGCTAGGAATCGAACCTATATCCTTTGGAAGAAGAACCAGCGCTCCTAACCCCTGAGCCACCTCTCCCGCCCTCACCAGCATTTGCTCTCACCACGCCTCATTCAGGCACAAAGATGGCACTCAGCAGATGTTTGTAGAGCCAGCTGCAGTGGCTGCGGCTACAGGCCTCTAGCAGAAGGTCCCAGGAGAGAGCTGAGCAGCTAAGGGGCTGTGTTCTACCTTGTTGTCTGTTTTGAGAGTCTCACTGTGCTGTCCACTGGTCCTCACCCTTCCCGAAGCTGGGACCCTTTACTACAGTCCCTCGTGTTGTGGTGATCCCCCAACTGTAAAATTATTTCCACTGCTACTTCAGAACTGTGATTTTGCTACTGTTATGAATTCTAGTGTAAATATCTGATATGCAGGATGGCCTTAGGTGACCCCTGTGAAAAGGCCATTTGACCCCCAAGGTGAGAACCACTGATGTCGCCTAAGATGCCCTTTAAAACACAGCAATTCTAGCCAGGCACCGGTGGGGCTCGCCTTTAATTCCAGAGGACAGCCTGGGCCACAGAGAGCGTTCAGGACAGTCTCCAAAGCGACACAGTGAAACCCTGTCTCAAAAAAACAAAACAACTAAAACAAAACAAAAAACTCAATCAAAACAAAACAAAAAGAACTAAAACAAAACAAAACAAAAAACTCAATCAAAACAAAACAAAAAACTCAATCAAAACAAAACAAAAAACTCAATCAAAACAAAACAAAAAACTCAATCAAAACAAAACAAAAAGAACTGAAACAAAACAAAACCCCACAGCAATCCTCTTGCCCCAGCCTCACATGTTGGCATTGTGTGCAACTTAAAAACTGGGAAACGTCACCATTCACTCAAAAAACATTGACCAGGGCTTTTCAGTTTGCATCCTGCTTTATGCTAGGTCTTGTATACAATAGTAAGCATAGTCCTTGCTTTCTACCAGGGGAAGGCGGATAATAAACAGAAAGTGGCAAACAAATAGGAAATGGGTGCAGAGTGCCTTGAGCAGGGACGCAGTGAGGACAAGCAAGGGCACTCACTGGTCACAGCTCTTTAGGGAGGGGACGAATCCTCAGCAAAGTTCCAACCTCTGAGACTCGCCCCCCACCCCCACCCCACACTGCAACAACTTATCTTGGGTTTGACTCGGTTTAGCAGCCCACACTTGGCTCCTCAAGCCCCCTGCTGTACCAACAACTTGTTTTTCACAGGCCTGTTGGAACTGGCCACTTGGGCCCCAAACTTCACAGTCAGGGAAAGGTTACACCCCTACCGCCACTGGCCTGCTCCCCAGGAAGTTCAGGTCGCTGTTCTCTCCAAACAGGTACCCCTCCGGATGCGTGGAATCAAACTTCTCTCCTCCCATGATGAAGTGGCTGGCGAAGTAGCTGCCTGCAGAATGGCAAACACAAAGAATCGAACAAGTACATGAGGCCAGACTGGAGGAAGCAAAAAAAAAAAAAAAAAGGTTAAGACTTCAAAGAATCAGATCAATTTCTTCTCCTGATTTCGGACCCTGGTACAAAATCAGCAAAAACATACTAGGCAACCCCAGCAACAAACAAAGGAGGTTACTACTGTCCTCGTAACAAGCTTAAGCCCCCATCTAAAATACCATTAGCCAAAAGGCAAAAAAGTCCATGAATTGCCCATGAATGAACCTATTGCTGATTATCTGTGTGGGTGTATACAGTGTATGGGGTGGTGGGTGGGTGTACACCATGGTGGAGGGTATACACAGTGTGTGTGAGTGTGTGTGTCTGTGTGTGTGTGTGTGTCTGTGAGTGTGCTGTGTGATTGTGTGTCTGTGTCTGTGAGTGTGAGTGTGCTGTGTGAGTGTGTCTGTGTCTGTGTGTGCCTGTGAGTGTGTGTGTCTGTGAGTGAGTGTGTGTGTGTGTGTGTATATGTGTGTGTGAGTGTGTGTGTCTGTGTGTGAGTATGTGTGTCTGTGAGTGTGCTGTGTGATTGTGTGTGTGGCTGTGAGTGTGTGAGTGTGCTGTGTGATTCTGTGTGTGTGTCTGTGAGTGAGTGTGTGTCTGTGAGTGAGTGTGTGTCTGTGAGTGTGTGAGTGTGCTGTGTGAGTGTGTCTGTGTGTGTCTGTGAGTGTGTGTGTCTGTGAGTGTCTGAGTGTCTGTGAGTGTGTGTGTGTGTGTGTAGTGCCAGAGGTCAACAACACTGGGACCTGCGGCTCACCAGCTAGACTAGCTGGCTGGCCACCAAATCCAAAGATTCACCTGTTCTCACCTTCCCATGGCTTAGTCTACAGGCAGAGATCACACTCCGTTTTTCACATGGGTTCAAGAGATTGAACTAAAGGGCCTAATGCCCTAGGCCCTACTTGGTTTTGTTTTCGTTTGAGACAGGATCTCACTCTGTGTAGCCCATGCAGGCCTAGAGCTCACTCTGTAGATCAGGCTGCTCTTGAACTCAGAGATCCACCTGCATATGCCTCCCAAGTGCTGGGACTAAGAGCATGCACCACTACCACAAACCCCGTTTGTTTCTTGAGACCGCGTTTTACTCTGAGTAGCCAGACCTAGAGCCTCCCACATGCTAGGACTGCATACACTACCAGGCTCAGCCTGGTCCTGATTTTCCCACCTCACCTTGAGGTGGTTCCTGAGAACTTGAGAATCTTAACTACAGGTATCAATCATACTTACACACACAAGTCATCTTTGCCTGGATCTTTTAACCCGCACACAGAGGTCTCCACACCTGCCCATCCTCACCTCTTCATACTCACACTGCACCACAAGGGGGGCAGCCAGGCAAGGCTCCAGGGTGCAGTCCTGGTACTTGGGAGACTAAGACATAAGAACCTAAAGTTCAAGGCCAGCCTGGGCTACAAAGTGAGAGAACCTCAACAGCCAGCACAAGCAGCTTAGGGACACTGGCAGTCACCTACTGCAGTGGTTCTCAGTGGTGAGTCATGACCCCTTGGGGTCAAAGGGCCCTTTCACAGGGGTCTCCCAAGACCATCAGAAAACACAGACACTTGCATTAGTTTATAACAGTAGCAAAACTACACTTATGAAGTAGAAACAAAAATAACTCTATGTTGGGGTCACCACAGCATGAGGGTCTCAGCATCAGGAGGGTGAGAATCTCTGACCTAGTTGTACATTTTATCTTTGATAGGGACACAAATTTCTTACTCCAAATTTCTTGGATTTTCGTTTGTTTGTTTGTTTGTTTGTTTTGAGGGTGTGTTTTTGAGACAGGGTCTCATGTAGCTCAGGATGGCTTCAAACTTACTAAAGTAGATGAGTCTGGCCTCAAACTCTTGACTCCGCTTCCCAAGTGCCAAGATTACAGGAACGTGGCACCCTGCACCCTCAAATTTCTCTGACCTGACTGTAAGGCAGACTACCCAAAGCAAGGCCTCACACCTTAGAAACCCTTGTCAATTCTCTCATATACCCTCACTCCTGGATGCACACAAAGCTTATGGAGGGTATAGTATAGCTAAGTCTAAAATCCCAGTCAGCTGTGACTTCTGAGATTTTTCCAGCAGGCTGAAAAACTCTGTTTTAACATTTTTGGCTACGGTGAAGCCACCGGAAGGGGAAAGGAGAAGACAGCTGTAACAGGAAAAGAAAAAAAAAAAATACAAAACAAACAAGCAAAAGACTGGAACTGGACATTTAGGTTTTACTTTCTAGACATGGAGCTTTAGTCCAGACAGAAGCGCCTGTTGAACCCAACATGTGGCTAAGATCACTCAGCAGAGCTTGGTTAGGGAAGCCTGTGCAGAGAGCGGCCGTGCCCAAAGCAAAGCAGCACTGAGCTTTGGCTTGAAGGAGCCAGCTGAACCTGGAGGCGGCATCCGGCTGCAGTGGAGGGGGGGTGCAGTACACCCCAGGGCAGCATCACTATCCATTATCCAGGCTGCACATTTGCTGGCCCCATTTTCCAAGCGCATAATTGAAACAGCGAAGGTGCCTGCTTATCTTCAGTGGAAGGTAGTCTTCTCAAACAAACCATTTCTCAAATAAGCCATTACTATTGTCTCTGAGTGAGATGTAGTCTCTGTACAGCAGGGATTATATGTTTCTTAGACATTACATGAAATTAGAAAAAAAGATTCTGCCAGTCTGTGGTAGTGACCGCCTTTAATTCCAGCACCCAGCAGGCTGAGGCAGGTGGATTTCTGTTAGTTTGAGGCCAGCCTGGTCTACAGAGGAAGGAGTTCAAGGAAGGACTCCAAAGATACACAGAGGAGATAACCTGTCTTGAAAAATTAAAAAAAGAAAGAAAGATTGACTCTGTGGTGTGTGCCTATAGCTATATAGCCTGAGCAACACATTGAGATCCAGCCTGAGCGGAGGAAAAAAAGAAACAAAAACAACAAAAAAACTAAAACCTGAGATGTAGCTCAATGGTAAAGCATTTGCTCAACATCTTTGTAAGGACTTGGGTTCCACCCTCAACACTGGGAAGACAATCCTTTCTTCCTCCCTCCCTCCCTCCCTCCCTCCCTCCCTCCTCTCTCTCTCTTTCTCTCTGAATGGCTTGCCCAAGAGGGATAGTGAACATTAGGTGAGTCCCAGGACAGCCAGAGCTACATAAAGAAACTCTGCCTCAAAAAACAAAAGACCAAACACCCCAAAAGGAAACCAAGAAGCCAGCTTGAGTTCGGTGTAGGCCCTGGCAGCAGTCAGGCAGGAATGGGAGGCAGGAGGCCACTGGGGACTGACTGGCTTACAGAAGTGGAGGCAGATAGATCTCTGCTGAGTTTGAGGCTGACAGCCAGAGCCACACAGAGAAACTGTGTCTCAAAAGACAAGCAAACAAAAACAATCTTTCTAGGGGCTGGAGAGATGGCTCAGAGGTTAAGAGCACTGGCTGTTCTTCCAGAGGTCCTGAGTTCAATTCCCAGCAACCACACGGTGGCTCATAACCATCTGTAATGAGAACAGGTGCCTTCCTTCACCCTATAGGCAGAAAGAACACTGTATGCATAATTAATAATAAAAACAATCTTCCTAGCCCAGTTTTGGCTTTTCCCTATATGCCGCTTGTTTCTGTCACTGTGTAAGTCGCCCAAGCTGGCCGCAAACTCTCCGTTCTCCACTTGCCACTTTAAAGCACTGGGGTGACAGGCGTGTGCACTCACCCACACCCCAGAGCTCGCCCACCTGCCATCTCACAGCTCAGTAGCAGTCTGGAAAGATTCTTGCTGGCTGACTAAGCCATCTGTCCGTCCGTCCGTCCCTCAGTCTCTCACAGACATTTCCAGTTCCTGGGCCATAATGAATGCTCTAAGCCGCTTCAAAGTCTACCCTCAATGCCATTTGCTCCCTATAATTCCATCCTTTTAGAGATCAAGATCTTTGTTTTATTAAAAGCGACTAACGGCCTTACTGAGAACTAACACACCCAACACAGAATTCATGCCTTGCACAGCTTGGTAGTTTTGGTAACCATCACCATGAGTCCAGTAGAGAATATTTCCAGCCCTTCAAAATATTCCAGTGTGCCTGGCACAATCCCCCACCCCCTCGCCAGGCATGGTGGTGTTCACCTTTGTCTTACTGTTATGCTGCTGTGAAGAGACACCATGGCAACTCTTATAAAGAAAGCATTTAATCGAGGGCTTGCTTATGGTTTCGGAGTGTCAGTCCATTATTATCGTGGTGGGAAACAGGCAGGTATGGATCTAGCGCAGCAGCTGAGAACTTTACATGCTGATAGGCAGTAAGCAGAGAGAGATACTGGGCCTGGCAAAGGCTTTTTAAAAACATCACATTCCCAGTGACACATCCTCCCCAACAAAGCCATATCTTCAAATACTTCCCAAACAGTAACAACTGATTTAACTAAGCATTCAAATATACGGGGCTGTGGGGGCCATTCTCACTCAAAACACCACAGACTGTAATCCCAGCTCTTGGGAGGTTGAGGCAGGGGGATTGCTCCAGTTTCAAGGCTAGCTTTGGACACATAGTTAAGTACCAGGTCATTCAGGATTATCTATAAAGACCTTATTTCAAAAACCAAAATCTGCTTCCCAAATACTAGGATTAGAGCTGTGTGCTGGGATTAGAGCTGTGTGCTGGGATTAGAGCTGTGTGCTGGGATTAGAGCTGTGTACTGGGATTACAGCTGTGTACTGGGATTACAGCTGTGTACTGGGATTAGAGCTGTGTGCTGGGATTAGAGCTGTGTGCTGGGATTAGAGCTGTGTGCTGGGATTAGAGCTGTGTGCTGGGATTAGAGCTGTGTACTGGGATTAGAGCTGTATGCTGTGGTACTTGACAGTGGTCCATGGTCTGCCAGGGTTTTGTTTGTTTAGTTTGAGACAGAATTTCACTATGTAGCCCTGGCTGGCCTGAAATTCAGATATGGGACTACTTCTGTCTCCAGAGTGATCCAGCTAGTCCTCCCAT